CCGAACACTGGCATCCTCATCTTGCCTCTTGTCAGCATCTTTTAGAAAGCACTGTATCCGTTTTAGCTCGGTTTGCATCTGTTGGACCTGATCCCTTACACTCCATAACAGTGTGGTTTCCTCAATCAGGAGGTTACCCAACCTCTCCACAAGAAAGGATACCACAGCATCAGCCATGAAATATGCCTTTGCTTCTTAAATGAAGACAGACAGGTACAATCTAACAAAACAGCGAAAACCCTCTTATTTTCTGAACAATTAATAAGGAAGCATTCAAAATTTCACAAAAATAACAGAAACTCCATGAATTTCACAAAGCCCAAGGAGAAATGTAAGTCATCAATTACCTATCTTTCACAAAGCAAACTGCACTTGAGTGCTTCCACCTTCAGGTTTTATTATATTTCCTCCAATATCAATGCCATCAGTTTTTACTTTGACTGCGAGGGCATCTTCTAAGAAGCTGGCAAGCATTGACATACAAGTAGTAGTAGGTGGAAAAGAGGGATTGGGATGACCCAACACGGATTCCCCTGTAGTATGTGCATTGAAGATTGCTTTCATACCAAATAGTAAAAGAGAAGAAAGATAGAAACCTCCAAGAAACTTCCATTTCCTTGACTTTTCAACAAGAAAACAACTAGCAGAGACCTACCTACTTGGAAATTACCTGTATGTTTCATGAAAGTAGAAGACAAAAGTTTGCGATTACAGACTCAGTAACTTTGAAATCAAAGGAAATTCAGGCCGATAAAATACAAATTCGATGCAGAATTGCCCCCCTCCCTGCTACATTTATCAAAAAGAAATCCACGATTCAATGTCTCTTCAAACTTTCTTCAAATTTCTCAAGAAAACATCAGTTGAAGAAAGGGGAAGAAAACCTTCAGCACTTCCAAAGGGACTATGTCGTCAATTTTCACTAGCTGAGCTCAAAGCTGCCACCAACAACTTTGATGATGATTTGAAAATCCGTGAAGGTGGTTTTTGCCCACTGTACAAGGGCTTCATTGATGGAGGCTCCTTGGTTGTTGCCGTCAAACGCTTGAGTGCCCTATCGTCAGGATCAGCAGTCGAAGAGATCCGAATTGGAAGTGAGGAACAAGGAGTTGAAGAGTTCCGAAATGAGGTACAGGTACTCTGCCAGCTGCGCCACCAGAATCTTGTCTCTCTCCTCGGGTTTTGTCACGAGAAGGATGAGAGGATCCTTGTGTATGAACATATGACCCCTGGAGGATTGGATGATCATCTTTTCAAGAATGATGTTCCCCTCCCATGGAAGCGGAGACTAGAGATATGCATTGGGGTAGCGCGTGGATTACACTACCTTCACACAGGTGCAAAGCATGCAATAATTCACCGGGGTGTCAAGCCTTCTAATATTCTTTTGGACGAAAATTGGGATGCAAAGCTTTCAGATTTTGGGTTTTCCAGGATTGGTCCCTCTAGCATCTCAAAGCCTAAGCCCAAAGCTTTGACAAAAACAGAGTCAAGAGTTTATGGTACATGTGGGTATATGGCTCCAGAGTATACGATAAAAGGTGAATTCAGTGAAAAAATTGATGTGTACGCACTAGGTGTTGTTCTGTTGGAAGTACTGTGTGGTAGACAGTCATTCGACGTCATGGCAGGAGTGTATTTGATTTCAGCGATCATTGAATGCATAAAAAACGGCTGTGTTCATGAGATGATCGATTCATTTCTGAAAGGGAAGATAGCACCGGTGTGTCTGATAGAATTTGTGGAGATCGCTCTCGGTTGTATTCATCCAAATCCAAATGAACGGCCTTCAATGGGAGAAGTTGAGGTAACCTTAGAACTTGCATTGAAACTGCAGGAGAAAGCCGACTTGGTTATCAAGGCTGACAATCCACATGCTGGTTATTCCTACGACGATGTATCATTTCGTGTTTCTGCTGAAGAAATTCAGAACTGGCGATCCTACAGTTACTGTTTTGGTGGAGATTCGGATGCAGGATTGATCTCGGATGTAGAAACGGCCTCCGAAGGCTACAGTTACTGTTTTGGTGGAGATTGGGATGCAGGATCGGTCTCGGATGTAGAAATGGTCTCAGTTCCGGAATCATAAATTGATAGAGATGAGTTTGGGAAGGAGAGTCTCTCTGTAAAATCAATATCAATTCTTATTGACGAAGAGATTGATGCAATTAAATCAAATCAAAGAAGAATCAACAATATTCTATTCAAAATTCAAAATTAAATAGTTTTATCAAATCCTCAATTACTTTGCCTTACTATTAATTTACTTATTTTGTGTGTAATATTGTAAACGGCACTCAAAAATCTCGAACTTCAATTTTACAAGGCTTAGGGTTACCTTATCAAAAAATTTAGGTTTTATTTGTCATTACAAAAGATTTTTCATATTCTTTATCTGATTTTTCCTTTTTTTTTTATATATATATTTTTAATTGTTTCATAATTTTCTTTGATATTAAGTGTAGTTAGTTAGTTAATACCTTTTCGTAATTAATATGTTTCGAATTTTTTCTAATTAATTTAAGGTTCGAACCTCTTGTAACTAATATGTTTTTTAATTAAATTATATGAAAATTTTTTTAAATAATATTAATGTTTTGTGTGTTAATTTAATTAGTTAATTGTTAAAATTAAAATTAAAATTTATTTTTTTATGTAACTTAATAATTACTTTGTTTGGTTATTTTTAATTGTTTTAATTTTTTAACTTTATATAAATCAATTTAACAATTTTATATACTAAATGAGTGATAATTGAAAAAAAAAATTTAAGTGAAAAATATTTGATAAAAACTATATATATACAATGATAATTATTGATATATTTTTTAATTCAACACCCATAACACTAACTGATCTAGTCATTAAAATTTAAAGATTTTAGTTTTGTCATCTTTAATTTAAATGTTAAAATAATAATTTTTTTATTGTAGGATGTATAGAATGAGAACATATATCGATTATTTTTTATTAACAAACTTTTTTTAATTATTATATAAAATTATCTTATTAAAATTTATATAAAATTAAATTCAATTAATTAATTTGATAAAAAAATAAAAAAATACATTAAATATATTTTAAACCTATGCTCAATACAAATTAAAAAGTTTCATAAATAAATTTTGGGTAGAGCAGCGATCAGCATGATCAAATTAATTCTGCCAGCTAGTTTCCTTTTTTTTTTTTATATTTAATTTTCATTGGTTTGGCATGTGCATATATGCTTTTTTTAAGGGTAAATTTAATAAATAATTTATTAACTGTATGATTTATTTTAATTTAGTTTAGAAATAATTATTTTTTTTAAAATGATTTATAAACTATCAATTTTATTTCAAAAAGGTTTACGCGCTCGACAAACATTCAAACTAACGGAATTTTTTCTATTGACAAGCTATGCCTTAAACTTTTGAAAAATGTTTAAATATAACATATATATTTTTATTTTTTACAACATTTTGTCTTTAAAGTTCATTTTTTTTTGTCAAATATAATAATTAACCAAAATAAAATTTCAATTTATATTTATTAAGATTTTAATTTTAATT